TTGATTTTGGTCCCATTTTTTCCGAACCATTTGTAACAACATTTTATGTTCAATTGACAAAAGTTACAGTGCTATGAAAGTGATTTAAACCATCCCAGTTTACAATAAGTAATGAAAATATCAAAATTATATGAGGCTAAATACTGTTCAAATACAGGTTTACGCAATCTTTCTATTGCAAAGGTTTCTAATATTGGAGTTACAAGTTGACAGATGTAGGAATTTCGAATTTTGATAAATCAAACCATAAAACAAATCACATCCATTAAAGTACTGAGTACACATAAATTTTCTTGCAGAAGACATTTTCAATTTATTGATAATCTATCACGGTACATATAATAAGTAAATCATCTATATTCTAAATCCTCATTTTCACTGCAAGAGGTATATGTAATTTGCCCAGTTAAACAACTGCACACGAAAACTAACGCATCATTCAATAGGGAACATTCGTTCCGTGTTACAACATAACATTTTATAACATCTTAAAGAACGCGCTGTTACATTTTACAATCAGACTTTGCTGGGTTTTTTTCTTTTTGTTGGTGTTTTCAGAGAAGTAACAAATATAATATTTAAATTGTTTGCTTGTACTGGACAAAAACGAGAAAATTTGAAAGAAAGCCACTATAGAAATTCTCATTTATTAGATAAAATCTGCATATTACACGAAGATATCAATCTTTGTGCTATTCATTTAATGATAATTATATCAAATCATGATTTTCAGAAATTTCAGCTTTTAAATTAATTTGCCTGTTGATGCAAAGTTAATTACTATAATGAATCATTAAAACTTGCTTTTTCGAAACAAAAACCAAAATGAACGTGTATGTCTACAGCCAGACAAATGTTTTGATATAAATATGTAATGATGGTTATACAGGATAGTAATAAATAATGATTATAATTCAATTCTTCAAGGACCATGTTTTCCAATAAAAGTATTAAACTCTTTATGAACATTTAATTTAAATATGGTAAAATAAAATCGGTAAATCTGTAATAATCACACACTTATTATGTTAGCATCTGAAAATTCTGCATTAAAGTCATACAAAAAATAGTTTCAAAAATATGATAAGTCATTAGCATTTGTCAATTTCTCCAGACAGCTGTCACTTTCATTAGACAACCGTCACTTCGTCATTTAGCTTGAATACAGTCACTTCTCTCGGGCATCATTCACATACAGACATCACTTAATAAAAAGAATTTATCAGGATGATTACATCGAGGCAACACGATTAATATATGATTGTTAGTCGGTAAATACAAATATAATCCAATGGAAAATGGTACAACTACATAATGTTTCTTTCTACCTCTACAAGATATAACTACTGTTTTGTTAAAAAATTATACGATGGTTAACAAAAAAGTGCACTTAGTTCACAATTATTACAATTCAACAGGGTAGGCACATATTTGGTAAAAATATAGCATAGGAAAAAGATAAAAACAAAGTTCAGTGCATAAAAAGACACATAAATCGGTGCATAAATTGTTGTTGCAAAGTGTGAACAATATAAAACACATATGTCTCGTTTCTTGCAATCAACACAAGTACACAAGATTGATGAACAAACCTTAACTTATCGCTTTGACACTTATAATTTTACAAGTTTCACAACATCAGTATAAAAGGAACATTTCCTGCTTCCTTATAATATTTTCCCCAGTTCATTTTATGATACATGTAAGTAAACAAGTTTTAGGAAAAAATGTTTTGTTTTGAGTATCTAATGTTAATCCATCATGCATTGGCAATGATACAAGAAACTGGTTCTGATGTGAATTAAAGATAAATGCCAAAAATAATTCAGACTAATGTCGCATCAAAACACACAAAGAACTTTCATTTGAATTGGTGCAACAATTATAGTATTTTATTATTATGATTGTTATTATTTTAACTGGATCAAAGAAAGTTAGAGCTAGACATTTTTCTTAGCAAATGTAAAATATTTACAGACATATTATTATATTATGGTTTAAGAACTATTTGATAAGTAATTGGAAAAAAAATTGTTAAAGGGACTCCACATGATATGATGGGACTGAAAATATTTTTTTCAGATAAATGTACCATTTTATGTAGGTTTAGACCACTTATCTTTGTGCAAAATTTCAGATCATTCGGGCACTTCGTTTTTCCAGAATAATTGTAAAAATTTACGTACAAATTTACGTTGTAAATTTTTTTTCAAACGGTAAAAAAATGACGCTTTTCACCCAAATTTGGGCTAAGAAAATCATAAAAATACGATTTTCAATTTATTTCATAGTATATTTCTTAACTATCTTTGTATATGTTTCTGTTTAAAGTGCCCCAGCTCATTTATGTAAGAAATTCAAATGTTATGTTTTTAGGCTTTTAAACCTCGGTGGAGTCCCTTTAATTTATTGTCATTATTGTCTTATGTTTAACTATCTTTTACATTTATTATTTATGAATAATGAATTGAAATTGTATGTTGCCCTTGTCATGTACCATAAGGATATTACCAAAATATTTTCTGAAATGTAGGATTTTTTTTGTATCATTACTTTCGGAAAAAAACGGAATAGTGATAAGTAGATATAATATGTACGGATATGACGGTATGACATTGCACGATTCGTTCATTGGAATTAAAAAAAGGAAATAATCAAATATCCATGTACAAAATATTACACAAAACATATATTTCATTGCACATCAAAAGGTAAAACTATTTTACAAACAAAAAAGAAATAAAAACAAATTGAATAATGCATTTCTCAAGTTACACAAAATACAAGTATATACATTGTAAAATGCTGTGTCAGGGAAACATATACATGTATATTGGACAATATGCATTTTAGATAAAATAACAATGGAAGACAATTTGGGAATAATACTTAAGGTAAATATTACAACATGATTGTTTAATTCTAAAATTACTCTAAGTGCTATTTACATTTTTATCAAGAAATCGATGTTACAGGTGATAACGTCATTAATTAAACTCACGCTTTAACTTTACCTAAGTTTGAGTATTCAGAACCATAAGATATGTTCTAGCCATATATTATATATGTTCCTGAAAGATTTATAATGATTGCTTATAAAGTTAAGTTATGAGACTCAGACAATTGCCCTGCCAGTATTCAGTAGACAAAAATTGTCAAATTGTTACACACGTATCTTATCTTGTAAAAGTCCATTACACGGACATTAGTCGTAACATCCGATCCTTAAGAAGATTCAATAGTTTATGAAGACATTGCCATGGGCTTGTTATATAAAACAGTATTATAGGAAAATATCGTTGTGAATCATTAAGATAAAATTGAGCAGGTGAATGGAACCACTCCAACATAGCAAAACAAACATTCCTTGATTCACTATATAAAACTTCTTAGTACATAAATATCTCATACATTATATTGCGAATATATCTTAAACCGTAATGTGTTATGTAAATATTGCACACAACAATAAGAAATAAAGAACAATCAAGTGGTACTAGGCACCTGTAGGGCGTAACTGCCACAGTGGTCATGCATGTGCTATGTAAATCTTTCAATTCTACATGTTAAGGTATGGCATAACTATGCTTTTGGTCATGGCCTAGTGGTTAATGGCTTTGAATATAAACCACTTGCCCCTCACCGCTGTGGATTCGGATCCCGTCAGGGACTTTGTATTCTTTTCATGTGAGGAAGCTATCTAGCTAGCTTCCGGTACATCGTTGCTTTCACTCATGTGCCCGTTCGTGACTGAAATAGTACACAGAAGGGCATCTGAGGTCTTCCTTGAATGTCGCCATATGCCAATATTGTGTTGGTGCTACGTAAAAGCCATCAAATTATTTTAATTGGTCATCTTAAAATGATTGGAATGTCGCAGGCTCGGCATAAATTAAGTATTAGTTAATTGACTGATTGTTGAAAACGTTGTTTTTATAACAATGAAAGTAATTTTAGAAAGAAAAATAAAATCTTATTATTGAAAATATAATTAAAATATGTTATGTATTGCACAGTTTAGAAATTGCATACGTATAGTAAATGACTAAATTCGTTGATAAGTAAATGACTAAATTCGTTGATACAAATAAACTAAATAAAAATAATTCATCGTACTAAACTGAATTGCACACTTACGAAACCCTCGTGACTATTTAAAGAACAAATATTTTAACGGTATAAACTCATCTCAATTCTAAAGAAAAAGAAAAACGTTTTTTTTTAAATCAATTGCACATAGCATTGTTGTTTGTTATATACATTCATATGAAGAGTATAATGTAATTTTGAAAATAGCAAACAAAGTTTAATATATATATATATAATTGCACAAGATTCTCTGCTTAAAAAAAGCTTCAAATAAATGTATAAATAATTGTATTGGTATTGTCAAAAATGTAAATTCTATATCGAAATATTGCGTATGATTTATGGAAACAATGTAAAATATTTATTGCTAATAAAAAATAGTGTAATGTAAAATGATTATTTTAATGTATTGCACAACCATATTGTTGACAAAACTCGTCAACATTCTTACAAAATCATATATAATACACAATGCTTCTATTGCACAACCAATACATCTATTGCACAACCAATAAAAGTTAATTTTCTCTACAGTAGAAATAGGGCTATAATACATTTTCGTTGTAAATGAAACGGCTTCGTTGTGAAGATGATTTGAGAATCTTCCAACAAATTGCATATACAAAGAATCAAAACCTAAAGAACAATATATAAGACATCTCTGAACCTTAAATTTTTGTCAAATTGAGCAACTGATTGTCATCTAATTACCTGATGAAATATGACATTGATAAAACGTCTTGATCACCTGTCAGTCTATAAAGTATTCATTAGTATATAGTCATTATAGTAATTAAAACTAAGATAATATGCCATTTTCTCTATAAAACACGGAGTAGTGTTATTGCTTAGATACTTTGCTGGATCACTATAACGTGAACGTGGTATTTGACATAAAATGCAGCCAAATACTATGTTAAAGATAAGATTAGGCGGATTGATATCAAATTTGTTCAAATTATATTGTTATGTTTCCATAGCGTCCATGTGTCATTATGGATCCGCATAGTCCTTAGCTTACATTTTGAAATACTGTTATGGTAGAAAATAAAATACTTAAGTTACTTTTAACGCCTTTCATCCAGTTATTGAAATATTGTTTGGTTCAGAGATATCCTATATAAAATGCTGAAATAAATGTATTTTCATATAAAAATACAATGTTTTGTCATATAATGAGTAAAGAAATGACAATAAAACATTCTGCGCCGGAATGTACAAAAAACATATAAAAGGTAAAAAGTAAGAGTCCTATATTGCACAAAAATGTAAACAAGTGTGTGTAAAAATAAAACAATAAAGGTATATACATAAATTCAATAATTCTCTAACAATTTGCTGTTGACTTTTGTTCCTCTAATTTGGAAAACAATTATTTCTCATTCCCTTCCGATACCACTGTTTTATTGCCTCAATAAAAAGTTCCTAATAAAGACACATTGCACTGATTCAGGTTTTTAATAGTCAAAAAGAAATGCTGATATTGTAAGAGTCATTTAAATTTGTCAGCTTTATTTAACCTTATTCAATTTTTCTATGATGACTAAAACTGTCGTCCGAGCAGACAGACGAGTCTCCGTCCATGTCCATGCTTGGACACATCCCGTCTTCTTTTATGCATGCTGATTCATAATGCTTATTTAGATACGATTTTAGCGCGAAAGATTTGTTGCACCTCTTGCAGTTGTAGCTCTTGAACGCAGAGTGTGTCTGCATGTGCGCGCGCAAATTACTCCGATCAGCAAACGCTTTCCCGCAATGCGCACAGCCATATGGTTTTTCACCAGTATGAGATCGGAAATGACCTTGCAGTAACCAAGGTCTCGAAAAGGCTTTACCGCAGACATTGCACCTGTGTTTAAGATCATGGGTCAACAAGTGCATTGACAATGCAGGCATACTGACGTAAGTTTTCCCGCAATGATGGCATTTCCTGGCAAGTTTGCTGTCTAAACTCCGGTGCGTTTGTTTGTGCCTTGATAGATTACTGGAAGTGGCATAATCTTTTCCGCATTCGTTACACGTGTATCTAGGCTTACCGCCGTTCTTTTCCCCGAAATTCTTACCTCGAGACCTCCCGTCACTGACGAAGAACGCGTCATATGTGTAACCTATAGTTACGCCATTTGGGTAGTTATTCTTTTGAAATTTCTTTATAATCTCTGCTGCAATGGCGTTGTCATCAATCTCCTTGTCAACATGGTTATCAAATTCTTTAGCTGATTCTTGGTCCTCATGCTCCCTCTCACTAGGTATAGATGGACTCACTATGTCATGTATATAACCTGAAATAGGGAAATTATTTCAATGAAAAAGAATGGAAATTATTTCAGTGAAAAAAGGGAAATTATTTCAGATTCATATGATTTTCAAGTTTTCCAGTTGATAACTGTTGGTTCATTTTAAATTGGTATCTGTTGAACAACAGTGTATACATAAACTTTTTTTATAGATAGATGTAATATAGGTATGAAATAGATATATAATGTTTATGTTCAGACAGTTCTATTCATAAGATTTTGTTATTGTAAAACTGGTTTTAATTTTACTTTTTATGATCAAGGTTTACTTTTCTACAACCCTTTTACTAACACCAAAGACGTTTTAATTATTTTCAGTCGAAGTAAATTTCTACAAAGTTATTTAATTTGTTTCAGTACAAACAAATGCCTATCTTCTTTTGGCTGGTCGCAGGAAATGTGAGGGGTCTTGTACGCTATTATATAATTTCCGTTTCGTTTAAACTGAACCAATATTCTACTTGTGAACAGCTGAACAAAAATGCAACAACTGTTCAATGTGTGTTTTCAATAATTGAATTCATCTCTTGGTCATGAAACTGCAATAATTTGTTAGCCATACTTAACAAACAAAACAGCTTACAAAAGGAAATGAAAATGCCGGGTCGTTGCAATGCTCTCCTAACAATACATTTTTAAAGATTTGTCACGTGATAAAAGCAGCTGATGTAGCGGGGTGGAACACGTCGTAATTCAACAAAATTAACATATCCTGAAGAAGCAAATCAAAACTCCATTTAAATAATGTTACTAGGTTACTGTTACGCGTATTTCGTCGAGTCAAATATGGAATTCTTTTCCAACAAGTGTTGTCGAAATTTGCACCTGATGTATTGTCACTTTTCAACAGACCTGACTTTTTAATCAATGATAATACAGAGGAAAGATGAAGAGCGTTAAAATCTAAAACAAAATATTTACTTAATGGTTTGTTTAATTGTCTCTTTTAAATATGCGCATCTCAATTTGATCAGATCATTCGTTACATATTTTGCAAAGTTGTTGTACGTGACATGATGTTTGTTTTATATAGCTCACCTTTAAGACAACCACGATTTCATGATTTTGATAAAGGCGCAATTATGTTTCCAATCATGCCCAAGACCAATGAGCGTTGAAAACTCTTAAATTGTGCAGTTTAGAGTAAGTGTACGTATTCATGTATTCATAATGTATCTTTTAGATTAAATATGTAATTTGACTAATATTAAAATATGGACTCAATATTGCGTGTTAACTAATTGCAGCCCTGTTAGAGAAATGACACGTTTTGTATTTCGCTTAAATTATAGTCTTTATTGAAACATAAATAAATGATTTAGATGTTATTATGATTATAATAAAGCATTAATAAATTAATGCTAAACGGGGTTCAACACCTAGCGTAATTAAATGAACACTGAATAATTTGACTTGTCAATGATATGAAGCATTGATACGCACGTAAACGTAAGGGGACATATTTTTAAGACAATCATTTTTGAGGCCGCACGACCAACCAGAGGCTCAAACGTGCAACATTACACAACAGGGTCCCTAAACACAAGTATAACAAGTGTTGTAGCGCTTTAAAAAGAACACCTCTTAATGTCGATATTTCTACAAAACATAGTAACTTCAACGGCTTTTCACGATTTGTGGTTTTATATTTGAAAAGTCGATTTTAATTCAAAATTATTTTACTGTTGAATTATCAAGCGTCTGCAATTATTGAGTATGAAATTTTATTGGTAAACTTTGCATAATTAACCAATGTATATCAAAACACTTACCATTATTTACTTTGACAGACAGCGGTAGGACAGCAGGGGTATATGGTGTAATGGCATATATGCTATCTGGAACAATGACATCATCGGGGTTGGTGTCACGGGGTTTGTAGCTGTGGTAAGCCCGAATTTCTTCGTGCTTTTTCACTAAGAAAGAACGTGGCATCTTTGTGTATTATCCGCTAATTCATTTACAAAGTAGTTATAACCATTGATTTAATGTCTTAAATGCAGATATTTCTTTCCTTCTGTCATGAAATTAAACAGATATTTATTCGTTTGTTATTCGTGTATGCTTTTTTCACAAACGAAACGAAATGGATTGTTCGAAAGTGTTAATTAGTTTAAAAAGATTTTACATTCAACATTTCTTGAATAACAACAAAAACTTTTTTCCGTTTCTGCTTGTTGAGTGCTTCAAATTTCCTCGATTTGCGAAGTTCGCACAACTGGTGGCAGACCAATTTATTTACTCATATTGACTGTAATCATCGTTGCCCATTTCTCACGGTAAGTACACCTCTAGTTGACGGGCAACTATTCATTCATATCCTCGACTAATCAATTGCACTTGTTGGATATCAATTTAGTCAGATCTTCTGGCTATTGTATCAGTCTCAAACGAATTATCGCAGTCTTGTCTACAGAGCTGGTGATCAGGAAATAGTGTCTTCATGCGTCAAATTTGATCAACTCCAACACGTACGATATGTTTTACAGCCTCTATCTGTTCAACAGTTAGCAGACCAGTTTTGCTTTAAGCTATGTTCGCCAAATTTGTTTTACATCTAGAACTTGCGATTGTTCCTACATATAGTCCTTAAATGTTCCTTATTTAAGTCTTAGTTTCTGTGTTACTGAATCGTTTTTATTTCTTTTTTATGATGAAAAACATGTCAAATTGTTAATTTTTATTTTTCGGATAATTTCATAACGCCGCAATTTTCCGCAATTTTCTTTTTATAAAGATAAGTCCATCTGCATTTAATTCACTGCTCTATGCAAAACATAGAGTGAAAACCCCGAAATCAAACGGTCCTCACTCCGGTATAGCACGAAATACTTTAAAGATTTTCAAATCTCGCCCGCCTTTAGTGACGTGTTGATATCTCAGGCAGATGGTCCACAAAAAAACCGGGCTCCCATTTACTACCCGACAGGTGATTTCTGATATACTGTGTGGTTTGGTTATCCTGATCCGGTCCAATTAACTTCTAAAGGAGTACAACCAATAATTTCATCGAAATTCCTTTATCCGTAGGGACCCTTTGAGCAATCAGCCAGTTTTTTTATGGTCACAGTGTTTAAAACCTCGATTTTGTAATTCACACAAATATTTGTTGACTACACTGAATTAAGTTATCACACTAACTTCAGTTTGTAGACGATTTTATCTTTATCAAGTCTTAAATTCTGTTATTTATTCACACGCATGAAAATTATCAATCAAAATACCATTTTTGTATGTATTTAAAACAGATTTGCTTCGGTCATCAGTTAAATAAAGAAACGATGAGAATAATCTACATGCTTTCTGCTCGAAGTATTGGCAAACAGTAATTGCCACAAAGTATCTCTAAAAGTAGTTTATTGACTGAGAATCTTCAATTACATTCCAGTATTTGGTTAGTGTCGTCCTTTTCTTCCGAATTTATAGTTCCCGACACTCTGTAATAAACTACAAAGAGATATTCTCCTTTTAAGGGCGGAGTCTATCACTGCGATATTTAAATGTCTTCGCAACGAGCATGCGTAGTGCCAGTTTTTCCAAGTCATAAGTCCATCTTTATTAGTAGAATGTACACATGTAGTTCTAATCACTTGCCTAAATATAAATGTAACATTACAAATTACTTCTGATATAAATATAAAAATTTGTGTCTCTTATCATTATTTTTTTATCCCGATAATTTTAGAACATTTCCATTGTTCTAAAAAGTTCTTTTACTAATGGACTAGATGTCATTATTGAAAGAGAAGAAAATATATATCATATCGGACATAACTGAAAATCGAATATTCATTACGGTTGTTGTTTTTTTTAACAATTATTTATCATATTCAATATAAATTGATAAAAGTCCGAAATAACAAACTAAATTTCACGGAATAAAAGTTAAAAAAAAATGAAATACTAAATGATCTTACGAACAGTCTTTAACAATAATATTAAACGTGTCGGATGAAATACCATTGTAAGTGGAAATATTTTAATTGAGTAAACCAACAAGAAAAAATCAATCAAAACGATTCAAATTATATTAATAAACATATTATGCTTTCAATAGATACTTTACAGTTCTCTTGTTCTATGTGATATATCGTAGAATGATAGCAAATCAATGGAAAGAATAAGAAAAACGGGGAAAAGGGTGATCCCTCGGAAGCATTAATCACAAGAAAATAACATGAGAAATGCAGACTCGGTTTGATTGAGTCTGTATATTAGGGATGATGAAAAAGTGCAACATCCCTCAGGCCCGATAGCACCGACTTGAGCGGTACTCAATTTTCAACACTTCAAAGTGCTGGTATCAATGATCCCGGAGAACCACAAAAATATAAGAAAACTGAAGTGAAGTACGGGACGAAGTAAAGTACGGGACAACTTTATTTAAAGGCATCCATAAGTAACATTAGAAATCTAAAGCATAGAAGAGTTTCACTTCTGCTAACAATTTTCTCTAAATATTTTTTTCCACTTAAATTCATACCTAAGAAATAACGATAAAATGTTCAGGAAATTTTGAAAACTCAATTTTCTCAGAAACCATGGCGTGTATCTTTTTTTATATGTTTACGACGTCTTAGAATACAGCAGAATATTTTCAATGCTCGTAGATCAAACTGAATTGCTAATTTTCCCCAAGATTCCTGGGGAGAGCAACAATTACTCTATATAGCTACATTTTCTATCTTCACTCTTAAGCATCTTTAATAAGGAATAATCACACGAGCTACGCAATAACTAATCGGTTATGCATAGAAGCCGCAAGCGGTAATATACCGGTACGAATTTCACCCAATAACTGATATACGTCATTAAATTTTTTGGCCATTCTTGCAATAAATTTCGAAAAGAGAACGCTGAAAGAGAGAAGTATCTAGAAGGAAAAGGCGGTGAAATATTTCCCTCTTTAGACTTGACCGCCTGTTGAGCGATTCATCTCTTTGAGTAATGCGATATTCATGGCAAAATTTAAGTGAGAAAGTAGCAATTTGTAAAAGGATAAATGAAAATAAATGACCGATATAATCTCCGTATGATCGAAACATATACAATGATAAATATGTCTTAGGGAAATAAAGGGCGTATATAAATTTAGGATTTTACATAAACGAGGATAGGAGTATGCCATTATTATGTAAAATGTGGCAAGGAAGCTGATAAAAACATACTTTGTATTAATGCGTATCTGTAATAGATTTTAAAAGCTGCGAATGTATAAAAAAATATTTGTTTGATGCGGAAAACATTGTTTAGAAAATTATTCGTATTATTGCTAATAACTTGTAAATCACTCGTGCTTTAACAGACTCTGGGCATAATTAGACTTGAAGACACTTCATAAATTTAATTTGAAATAGTTTTAAAGACATAGTTTTTGTTTATAAACTTGAATACCTTCCGATACTCTAACGATGTTAATCACAAGCTGGTGTTAAATTTATTGATGTCAAAGAACCATGAAGCACGCTTTTAAACGTTTTAAACATATTTTCAGCGGTTTTACGCTTGTATAGCAAGGAGTTACAGGCGCGCGCGCCATTCGCGTGTACAAGTTTTATTTCTTTTATATAGAAAATGCACCCAACATTAAATGGCCGTCGCTATATTTGAAGACTCGGTCTTTTTTTCTTATGAGAATAAAAAGATGCTTTCGCGGTGGGATGATACGGATAATATAAAAATTATTGTAGCGGGACTGGAAACTGAGGTCATTAAGTGTCTTTCAAACAGTTTTCTATTTGAAAGACTGTCTTCTCAGTAAATTTCAAATTTCAAACGTTTATTGCAATTAAGTTAATATATACTTATAGCAAATTATAATCATATCATATCTATACACTATTTAAGTCATTTCAAATATATTCCGAGCTTCGTACTTGAGTTAGTTTTAGCAGCCGTTGTCACTTTCATATTGATGAAACCACGAATTTATATTACAATATAAATCCGTGATGAAACTATTAGTTTTACTTGTACTCAAAATAGTGATATACAATCACTAATCAATTGTAAATAAAGGATGTCTGGTTAAAATGTTTTTCCTTACTTTAAGATGGTGAAAGTTTCCTCTGCAACTGATCAAGCGGTAGTGTTTTTAATTTCGTTAAGGTGTCATTCTGTACACCATTTAATGAGAAATGAAATATAGCGATAATAACATTGAAGTACAATTTAAGAATATACTAAATGCTCAATTATTATAAGTAAGTATATATGCATTCATAAATTGAATTGAATTGACAAAAAGAAAACATGATAATATAAGGTACAGCATAAATTTTTTAAATGTTACATGTGCATGTGTTTTTATTACTGCATTTACGGTTAAAATTGTTCGCACATTTTCTGTTGTTATATTTAGACCGATTAAATTCATTCTTTTTTTTATATAAAATAAATAAAGTCATCAAAAGTAAACAATGAAACATTTGCTTCAAAAGAAGATTGTAAATCGGGTTCAACAAGTGTTCAATGCTATTTGCATTTAGTGATCAATACCTTTAATGCATTTAAATACCATCAGATGGAACGCCAAAGTACACACCTGTTGACATTATATGCAAATTAACTTGTATTTCGGTTACGGATAAATGCAATCGTCCAATGAACACACGGTATTCTTGGCGCGTGCCAGGCGCGTATTACTATCAGATAGTAAAACGTTTAACATACTTTAAAATTACACATTACAAGTTTGTAGACAAGGAGCATGTTATCAAGTTTTTGAATCGGAAATTCAAGCGTTTCTCCGATACCAATCTTCGTATTGGGATGAAATATATATTTGAAAATAAATTGTATTGTTTGATCCTTTTTCATTTAATCAACAAATTAATAGCAAAAAAAAAAATATATATATTTCGATCATATATTTTAAGATTTATGCAACAATAATGCATTTAATTTTTGTTATCAATATGTAGTGTTTACGGTATGTATGGTTCTATAACTGTCTTAAGTTTGAATTTATTGTATAACTAGAGTTGGTATATATTTTATTTGCTAACTTTTACATGAACAAAAAAGGAATATTTCTTTTTTTATATTTATAACGATGTTATCAGAGTAAAAGATGATTTTGATATTCCTGATTACCATCATTAACCCATTACGTCATATACACGCCTTTTAACGCCTTTTTCACCCCCCCCCCCCTTTTTTGTTGTCTCAAATGGTGAAAAAATGCCTTATTTAGGGCCCCAACACCTGTTTTTGTTTGAGAAATGTTGTTGAAAAAAGTGACCAGTTTTTCGGCGCGGCCCCCCAACCAAGAAAATTTTGGACTTGTGAGAGGCTATAAATGACCCCAGATTGACCATAACGTAACGTGTAACCAACGCTGAAAAGCATTTGACTCTATCTCAATCCATTGAGAAGTTGCAGCACTTTGAAATCAATTATGATGGAAAAAATCAACGCAAAATAGTGATTTTTGGCAATTTTGAGATGTCCCCTCGTTGCCATGGTAACAGAAAATGTAAGCCTGAGCATGTTGTTGCAAGGGCAATGGTCCAGTCAACATTTGTGCCAAGTTTGATTAGTGTTAAAGCAGTTTTTATAGTATTATAGCAATTTGAACTTGTAACGGGAGACTTTTCAATGAAAACAGCCATTTTTCACAAAATGCTCATAAGAAGTATTCTTATTTTTTTTTTATTTTCTTCATCATTCAGCTACTTCCTCAAAATATTTGTTAATTACATTTAATAACATTACACGTTCAAAGAAAATTATTTAAGGAGAAGATTTCTCTCCTTCTGACACGGACGCCTGTTGAGCAATGCATCACAATAAATGACGTGGACCTCATTTCGCAAAGAAATATCACCAGTTAACGGAGGAAATTGTGTTTGTAATGGATAAATGAAAACAAATGACTGATATTAGATGTAATTGTCAGATGATCAAAATATAAACCATGATAAATATGTCTGAGATTGAAAAGCAGGAAAAACTATTTTCTGGGCTCATCTGAACTGTGTGAAAATTAAAACAAAGCTATTTTTAATAGGAAATCCGTGTTTCAATTAGAGACACATTCAACTTGTATCTAGAATGTTGTGTAATATTTTGTCCTGGCTATTTGTTTGTCTTAAAACAATGAAAAGTCAATTTGAATTTTAACGTATTAAGTTTTAAACTAATTTAAAGAATCAGGCAGTAAAACATTAACTTGAAATTTCAATAGTCTTACTACTATTCAACATTTAAAATGAAGTTTAAAAAGGTCATTATAAAGAGGAACATACAAGTATATAATGAATAATACTTTGAAATATTTATTTAATTTTTTTGGAAAAAATACATTTTTACATATTTTATTTATATTTTGTCATACGTACATTAAAGT